GTGGTGGGAGGTAAAGAATCGTAAGGGCAGGTGCGTTTCCATGTGATGACAAAAGCATGAATTTTTTGGGAAGCCTTTCGAATATTGAATTCATTGATATTTATTTACTTGAGAACAGGATAAAACAAGAATGGGATTTGGCGCTTATAAATGTACTCACAGTAACAACATGCAATGCTATTGTTGTTTGGTCGCTTGCTCCTTCTCGTTCATATGGGAATACATTCAAGTTTGATTTGCAAAATACGTTACAAAAGCTCCCCAACAATATATTTGAGAAGAGCTACCCACTGAGGGAATTTGACCTGCAAAAGAGATTTCACTCTTTCTTCTACAAGGCTGCTGAGTTATGTATGGTTGGACTATCTGCTGGAGCTGTGCAAGGTTCTTTATCAAATTTTTTGGCCAATAAAAAGGAAGGAAGGTGAGTACTGTATTGCTAATTCTGTTTTTTGTTATCTATATTCTGATAATTTTGAATGCAATGGAGAAAGAAATTTGAGATGGAATTTATCTTACTTTTTCTTTAAAAGAACCAGGAGTTGCGTTGTTCTTTGTCTAATACTCTGCCCATTTCATAAATCTTTGACAATTTTGGATCAAGTAATTTATACCACTTTTATCCTTTCATTTTTTGTTACATTTTTTTCTTAAGAATTGTAAATAGGTGTGAGCTGTTGACTGGATTGATAATATGCATATTAAAGTTATTTATTTTTATGGAGAAGGTTCTTTTCACATAATAACGTGTTACACAACATAGAAAAGAAATGGAAATTACCATTACGTCAACTCTTTAATTTTTTTAATTTTTTTTTTTGTGTTTTGTTTATTGTATTGTCAACAGTTCGAGTGTCCCACTTAAAGAAAGTTACTAGAAGAGAAGTGCTTCAACTTTTTTGAAATAAATTTTCCTTCTCTCCTCCCCCATTTCGATAAGACAACTATTTATTGTTAATGCCAACTAATATAATTCCTACGCTTGCTCTTACAATTTACTTCCATGCATGTTCAAATAATTAACTTCCCATGCACGTTCAAATAATTAAGTTCCTATCCAATGTTAACTTGTTTGACAGGTTATCTGTGACGATCCCAACCATCAAAGCAAATGCACTCGGTTATGGTGCCTTCCTCGGACTATATGCGAACCTGAGGTATCAGCTATTATGTGGATTTGACAGAGCAATGGTGAACCATTTTGATGTTATTGGGGTCGCCCTGCTTTTTAGCACGACACTGAGGTATGTTTTTTATTCTGTTTGGGCACTTGTATTTAAAGCATAGACTGCTAAATTGCTTATACAAATGTAACCCTGCCTTAGAGGGTTTTTCTTTCATGGTCAATGGTGAACCATATGATTACTTGTTTCCCCACCGTCCCTTTCTACCTTCCTCATTCTTCTCTGGCCACATTTATTCATAATGCACTCAAAACTAAGCATTTACCATTTCTAAACATAATTTAGTTTATATTGTTGCCCTTGATACATCTAAAAGGTAAATCAAGAATGAAAAAATGTTTTGGTTTTGTCAAACGTTTGGGTTCACTGGTGCATAGTGGGGCCACCTTAGTGCCCGTTGTTTTCAAATTTGATTACATACTTCTGAGATAAATAAGAAGCCTGTGCGATACCCTTTTATCTGGGTTTGTAGAGCAATCCCCAGTTTTTCAATGGCTCGTAGTTATGATTGCCTGAACCCCACCACCGTTTTTCATTGACTTGGTGCTGTAGTTGGCATAAGCACCGGGATCCTACTGATCACTTGGGCCTTCTTTTGTCCAGAAATGTCTTTCTCACCAGGCAACTCCTATGGCACTGAACAAAATGCTGCATAACATGAAACGCCAAAAACCATCCCCATAGTTGTTTTGTAGAAATATAAAGATATCTTGGAAGAAGTAAATAATATGCCAATAGTAGACGGCGTTCAGGTCTTTCTAAGCTCTAGTGCTGCTATGCTTCAGAATTGGTTGAATTCTCATATATGGATTCCTAGTCAATAATTTCCTCAGTGCAGCAATGTAATGATCATTTCTATCATCTTTCCACTCCAACTCCTGAAGGAATTGTCTGTTCCTATTTACTTGCATATCATGTGAGAATCGGATCGAGTATTTTGGCAAAATAACAACTGTAATTTCTGTGATTTTCTCAAGAATGAATGCTGCCTGCAAGTAGGGAGTCTAAAAAAATCTGAATTGTCTCTCTTTTAAGTTTCATATGTAAATGTGCATCTTTCTGATTGTAGCGTGTATTCATCCAGTGACATTTGAATTTTCCTTCTTCCGTTTCCAGGACAGATAAAAAAATCTGTCATAACATCAAGTTCATCTTGGTATAATTCTACTAGGTCTTCTTTTTCTTTGGTATATCTTAAGTTTTGCTTTAAATGGTAAAATTGCACGATGTATCGAGCGATTCTTTGACTCTCAATTGGGAATGTGGACAGGATTTTGAATGTACAATTAGGAGAGCGATCAAGGTTGGCTTGGCTTGGGGTGGAGGCTGATCCACTTGTTCACTCTGATGATCTTTTGAAGGTATACAGTAGGCCTTCTGAAAATCTTGATCAGCCGTCTTCAAAATGGTTTATATCAAAGAATGCCATCGTTTCTGGGCTAGGGCTCCTCGGCATCAAACAGGGAAATGCCGGCTCTGTTGCTGACGGGGAATCATCAACACCTAAGACACGCAGAAAGAGGATTGTCCGGAAGAAGGTGACTGCAAGTTCAGCGTAGTTTAATCGAATGTAATCACTGATGGAGTCCAATTTTGTTGCCCGAGGGAGATACAACTTGCTCGCGAAACTGTTACGCTAGAGGAGCTTAAGAGGTGTTTGTGCAGAAATTTCTGGCATCTCTGGTAAGGAGAAGATTTCGAATCTTTAGTTGCTTTATTTAGTGTCCCTTCTCTTGATTGCAAGTGCATTGCACTGCTATGTTTACCTTGAAATTTTAGCATATTAGAAGCTTTAATTTATTTTTTTAGCTAAAAGCGCATTTTTTTAAAAGATTTTTAGCTGTTTGTAATTTCAGCCGTGCAAGTTTGTCACATTACTGAAAAATTCAATAATTCAGAGGTTACTTATTTGGAAGTACCTTTAAAATTACTAAAAGTTTTTTGGTGAAATTGTTTTAGATTTTGAATAACATTTAAGGTGCATTATTGATGAAGTACCATTCCACGAACATCAGTTATGTGCAACAAGAATTTCAAGTGCATTTTTACTAAGTATTAGAGCCCAAAAATATTATCACCAAAAGTGCTAAAAGCACTTTCAGTATTCTTCCACTCTTTGATCACATTTGGTGCCCAAAGTCATATTGATGGGATATCGCACTAGTATTTGGATGATTGCCCCTTGAACTTGTAAGGACCTGCTAATTTCTTCTCTAAATTTTAATTTTAGTTGATTATCCTTCTAAATTTTTATAATTGATCAATTTTTTCCTTAAATTTTAAATTTAGCCGATTATCTAGTGAACTTTTCTAATTGACTAATTCTACCCCCTGGGAACTTTAATTTCTTCTAAACGCTAACCTTAATTTCAACAAAAAAATGTACGGAGTAAACTAGTGGAAGAGAAGAAGACAAAAATATGTTGTCCACATTAGGGATGAAATTATTTTTTTGTGTATATAATTAAAATTCAGAAGGGAAATTTGACATTTATAAAAGTTTAGGAGCTAATTCGTCTAATTCAGAGAAAAATCGGCAAATTGAAAAAGTTCATAAGGTTAATTTTGTTAAAATTAAAATTAATAGGAAAAGTTAAGAGCTCTTTACAAATTTGATAAAGAAATCGACAAATTCCTCATGGATCCAGTACAATCTCTCCTTCTGTGAGAGTTATTCCCCCTTTTTGGTGAGGGTTTCGATCTTGACCACCATCTTAGGCGTTGACTCTAGCTTCGGCTGGAGTTGGTTGCCACTTTTCCCTTTCTTTTGTTTTCTCCTCTTTTCCCCTTCTCTGCTGCTTTTTCCCCCTCCTCATATTGATTTGCCCTCCTATTCTTCCCTTGCTGTCATCCCTCTTTCTCCATCTGAGTTTTGATCTTCAACCATACTTGTGTTCGAGTTAGTGCTGCGAGTTTTAGTGTTTCGACCGACTCGGGTGTTCCCAACACCACCACCTTCTCTTTATTGTCTGCCGGATCTGGCAATGTTGCTCATGGTGTTCCATGGGTTTCCTCTTATTGATAACCAACTAATTTATTCAGGTTTTTGTTATCTTTACTTTATGGCCGTGCTCGGGGAGCATATCGATGTTGGATGATACGATCGGAATGGCGATGTTTGGTGGTGGGCATGGATTTCTGCAGGTTGAGATTCACTATCCTGGCAGAGGCGGTAGCAGTGAACTTCTCGGTTTTTTGTTTGTTTCTTCTGTTTTTGGGCCTCAGCTGTTTGGTTGGGCTCTTTGTTAGTTTGTTGTTTTGCCGCCTTTTGTTTTTTAGTTTTCCTATTATGGTCCTTTTTGGTTTGTTTATTTTGTCTGTGGGTCAGTAGTTTGTAAATTTGTGTTGTGTGTTTAATAAAAAGGAAAAGGATCATCGTCGGATCCTTTTCCTAGGGATTCCGTGATCATGACCGTTCATCGTACATCATACAATTATAAATCATTTTAAAATTTAAAATTAAATATAAATAATACCTAATAAAAATTAACCGTACGATTCCTAGGATTCCCATAAAAAAGGACCTGGCCTTTAATAAATGTTCCTTGATGGCGATCTTTTGATCCAAAAAAAAAAAAAAAACGGGATAGAGAAATCGACAAATTGATCCAATTCTATATTATCTTCAAGTAGATCGCCGGCGAACGGAGCACCGTCCGATTTGAAAGTGGGCCCACATGCAAAAGATAACATTACACATGTCGATAGTACTGAATGCTAACCTCACCTTCTTCCCTCATAAAGTCTCATTCCCCCTAGGTACTGAAGGCTATCAACCATCATTAACTCCATAAATCGCCCAGCCGCTCACGGACGCCGTGGCATACGAGGATGAGCCCCGTCGTGTCAAACCTCCGGTACTGGCTGGTCAACCACCCTACGATTCTCCACTTCTCGTGGATTCCAGGTCAAACTCCAGCCTCCACTCCACTCTTCCTCACTCTCTCTCTTCTCTCCTACCTCTCTCTCACCTTCCTCCTCCGCCGCCTCCCGTTCTCCCCCATCAACCCCGCACTACTCAAACCAATCACAGCCGTCCACAACCTCATCCTCTTCCTCCTCTCCCTCATCATGGCCGTCGGATGTACCCTCACCATTCTCTCCCCCCACACTCCAAACCTCGATTGGATCCTCTGCTTCCCACCCAACACCTACCCGAACGGGCCCCACTTTTTCTGGGCCTACGTCTTCTACCTCTCAAAAATCCTCGAATTCTTCGACACCCTCTTCATCATTCTCAGCGGGTCCATCCAACGGCTCTCCTTTCTCCACGTGTACCACCACGCGACAGTGCTGGTCATGTGCTACTTATGGCTCCACACGTGCCAGTCTCTGTCCCCAGTGGCGCTCCTGACCAACGCGTCAGTGCACGTGCTCATGTACGGGTACTACTTCTTGTGCGCGGTCGGGATCCGACCCAAATGGAAGCGGGTCGTCACGGATTGCCAGATCGTGCAGTTTTTGTTCAGCTTCGCGGTGTCGGGTCGGATGCTGTACTTGCACTTCACCGGGTCGGGTTGCTCCGGGATTTGGGGCTGGTGCTTCAACGCTGCGTTTAACGGCTCTCTCTTGGCTCTGTTTGTTGACTTTCACGCCAAGAGTTATGCCAAGAGACAGAATATGGCGTCGTTTCAAAAGAATAAAAGCTCATGAATGTTTTGATCAGTCTTCATCGAGGGAGGCAGATTGTATGCCTTTTTGTTTGGGTATCGTTTCTATCTCTTCTTATTTTATGCGATTATGGTTAAGTCACGTTGATATTTTATACTAATTTTTTTTTATAGAGATAATAAGATAAAAAGTAATAAGAATATAAAATGTTGACATAGTTTAACCGTGATCGCACAAATAAGAGAGGATGAAAATGATATCCAAACAGGAGGACAGACAATCTTCCTCTCTTCATTGAGTGGTGGTTGTGCTTCTTGTCTTTATGGATGTCATTTATTGAACGGCCACGATTGGTTGAGTACTTGAATACATTTTAGATTCATTATTTCTCCATTCGAGCAAATTTTCAGTGTATTTGAAACACAATTACGTGCAGTTATTGGTTGAGTGTATTCTTATTATATGGAATGGTACAACTTGTTTTCCAATTACATATGTAAGCTTCCCGTGTTGGTGGCTTCTTACTCTTATTAGTTGTGTGTATTTCTTACTCGATTATTTCTCCACTCGACCAGTTTTTTTGATTTACCTAAAACACAATCACATGGTGTTATTAGTTCAATCAAATCATAATAAGTGAATTTATTTTCTTATAATACTATATAGGTGGATATGTAAACTTTATCGTCTAGTATTATTAACACATGAAATGATATAAATATTATTAACACGTGAAATGATACACAACGTAACTTGTCAAGGTTTTAAAAGATGTTAGGTGCTAGTCGGGCGGTGGGTAAAGCTTATGCAAAATTTTTTAATTTTAATTAAATTCATTTTATAACATATAAATGAATATCTGTTAAAAAAAGAAAAATACATAATTGTATTGGATACCTAAATTGTAAAATAGAATGATATATAAAGTGTAAAGTACTAAAACATATTGAAACATGAGGAACAAGAATATAATAAATGTTTATCTAAGTATCCAACAAGTTTGTTACAAGTTATTGATTTTTTTTTTTTGCTTAAGTGAGAGTTGCGACCTAAGCGATTTAGGTGGATGCCTAGGCAGGTCTAAGCGTCATTTCTTATTGTTTAAATGCTTAAAAATTAATCGTGACGGTGACCAACCGCGCGCCTGATGCCTAAATGAGACTTAAGCAACCCTAAACAGAGCCTTTTAAAACACTGATTATAAGTACCTATAAAAATTACTCGTGCCGTAGCTTCTTGCTTTTATTGTTTCATTTATTTGCTTACCAAAAAAACTATGTGTTACTTAGTTTCTCTGCTCCTTCAATCATGACTATATTAAAAGAATCAAGAAGTATGTACAAATCATAAAACAAAAATCAATGGCTGTTTACTCTTTGGTGGGTGAGTCTTTGATTGAAAATCTGTCATTATGTTTTAAGTCGTCCTCCTAGTGAGTGGTTAGGGTTAGTTATCTAGGTTAGATGATTTTTTAAATCTCCAGTTATTTTATTTTATTTTTTATTTTTGAACTTTTGATTTTTACAAACCGATATTTCTAAAGAAACCATATAACTTATTTCATTTTCATTTTTTCAAAACCAAAAACTTGTATTGTAATTAATTTCAGCTTTTAGTTTTTCGTTTCAAATTTAAAAACTAAAAACTTGAAATGGTAATCAAACGAGTCTAAAGCTTTTTTAATCTACTAGAAGGGTACTTTGAACTCGAATATACGGAGGCATGTACAATGTCCTAAACAGTTGACCTAATCCAAATGAATTCACGTTTAAGTCTATAGCCAAAGAGCTTGGAAAGAGAAAATATAATTTTTGCACATTAATTTGAAGACATTCATCAAACACCTAATCCATTTCCGTAGATAAGGGTTAAGAGCATCTCAGGTGGTGCAGGAAATTTAGGTGTATGGTAAGACGGAAACCTTGAAGGGAAGTGATTCTCATTTTTTCATAAAAATAGGGATTAGTTGTGGGGTCCACATGACATTGAATTTTAACAATCCGAACCGTCAATTTTTTAAGTTGCGCCTCATAAATCATCCTTAAAAAATATTATTAGCCAAATCGAAAATATTTAAGACATTTAATTGGGTTCAAAAAAATTAACGAATACTTTGTTATATAAGAAACAATGAAATTTGATCTTGATAATTAAATAGGCAAATAGTTTCGGATTGAATTGAATTTTTGCAAAAATAATCTATGAATCGAGACTTACAAATTAGATAGTTCGGATCGTTGAAGTTCAATGTGAAATGGACACCACACCTAGTCCCCATTTTTTCTAAAAAAATAAAAATCTCTTTGCATAAAGAGCCTGATAGTAAGACAAGAACTCAATTAATTGCGAACAACATAATTAACAGTTTAGCACAGCAAAATAAGACATTGAACAATTTAATTATGAAGTTGTTACGATGAAAATATGTTATTTATAAATGGGGAATGAGCTCATTCTTTAAGGGGGGAATGTAAGTATTATTCCTTTTTTTTAAACTACACTGAGAAGAAGGGAAAAGATTTGAACCCGTCTGCTTATAGAGATGGAAAAAGAACAAATAAGAGGCCAACTTAATAGAATACATTACAGTCAGTCACCTATGTTGAAAATTATATATTATAATATGTAATTTAACATTTGCATGAAAAATTGTAACCATGAGTTAGTTTGAATTCACTGGATGCCTGTTAGCAGAATGGCGTCTACTTATGATGGAAAGTTACATCTTTTTAATAAGCACTACTTGGGTTCTATATTATCATATGAAATTATTTTCATTAAATGGTAGAAAATTAGAGTTAATTTTTATTCTTGAGAAACATGTTTCCTATTCTCTTATTATTCGTTTGTCAAAATTCGAGCTGTGTCTTGAAAGTATAGAAAATATAAAGTTCGTCTGAGTCTAAAGATTGAAATGTTTCGACTTTGGATTATAGATTATTAAATCTTGTGAGACGGACGCTTACCGAACTACAGGTACAAAAGTATGGACAAATTTCTGTCTTTAGATTGCTGGAGCAATATTAAAAAAAATATGAAATTAATTAACATAAAAATTCCAATGATAATATTCATAAAGAAAATCACAACATTAATTATGTTTGAGATTAATATAAACAACTGAAGAGAAAGTTAAAAATACTGACCAACATGAAAATTGAAACTTACATAAATACAATGTCAGTTAGATTTAAACTAGAGTTAATGGCAGCCATATAAAGAGTTTTGCCAGACCACGTCAATTACAGTAAAGAATAGAACAATTACCATCATCTTGAAAATATGGGGGAATTTCGAAAAGAAAAGGACTAGACACCAAAATGTGGGGAATTTTTATTTGGAAAAAATTGTACGTACATGAGTCACTTGATGATCCTTCTTATGTAAGCACATAGATGGGCATGACTATTGGGTTGTGCTATTTATTATTTTGGGTGGCCACAATTACAGAATGGCTTCAATGATGCTGGCTAAAATTTTATGACAATTTTAGGTCAAAGGATTAAGGTCATTTTCAACTAAAGGGCTAAACATAGTTTCGCTAAGAAATATAGCCTTACAAAAAATTATTTTTGAATGAATAGTTAGGTCATAGTCATATGCCATCTCCAACCGAAGGGAAAGTCTACTTCCATTCGGTTGGAGATGGCATATGATAATGACCTAATATTGTTCATTCAAAATGAGTGACTTTTAAGTTGTGAAGAGGTCAGAGACCTTCCTTTAGACACCTTAAATGTGGGGAAAGTCTACTTTCTAGTTCCTAGTTATATATATTATTGAATAAGTCTTAACCTACGTTTCAAGGACTTAACATTGGAAACAACTACTCTTATATGAAATATAATTTCACAAGATGGATCGTGCACAACATTAAAGAAAGTTAAACTAGTAATGGATCCAATTATTAAAAGTTTGACAAGAGAGTAAGTTGATCACTGGTGGGAATGAGGCTAAAGCCAAGATGACTAATAAATCCACTGGCGAAAACCTAACTTAGTTGATTGGAGATCTCATGGTCTAAGTTCAATAGGCAAACTAATTGGACATGATTCAAAGAAGTTAAACACACTATCCTATAGTGGGACAAATGTGATGTCTACAAAAGTTTCAGGATGTATATTTATACTTAATAACACTGATATCTTATAAATAAAAGAAATATTGCAGAGTATTCTTGATCAGTGATCACATATGTGAGAGTAGAAGTGGGTTGCTTTTATGAGAATGAGATAGCTAAATTCTCTAAGGCTCTATGAATCCGGGATTTGTTCATGATAAAAAAGAACACACCATGTGAACCATAATATATTAGGGTTAGTAATGTGTATTGCTTATTGTCTCGGTTTACTGCTGCAGTTAATAGTTCAAGATCTTTCACATCCACTGCGTCACCAAATAAATTTGATTAGTATTCACTGGGGTAGGTTTAAGTCCAAAAGACACATCTTTCGATGCATCTGTTGTCCACCTATACTCTCAAATTCTTCATAATTTTTCATTCATGTGGGAGATGGTTGGAAATGATATATTATAATATTAATTATTATAATAGGTAATTTAATATTTGAATGAAAAAGTGTAATCATGAGTTAGTTAGCATTCAATAGGTGCCTATTAGTAAAATAGTGTCTACTTATAGATGAAAAGTTACTGTTACATTCCAGTCTCGACTCCGCTGTAGCACGATATTATCCGTTTTGGGCCTCGACCACGCTCTCATAGTTTTGTTTCTGGGAACTCACACGAGAACTTCCCAATAGGTCACCCATCATGGGAATGCTCTTGCCCGAACTGGCTTAACTTCGGAGTTCCGATGGAACTCGAAACAAGTGAGTTCCCAAAAGGCCTCATGCTATATGGAGGTGGGCATGTACATATAAGACACATCATCTCCTCTCCGTTGGTCGATGTGGGATATTACAATTTACCCCCTTAAGGCCCGACGTCCTCGCTGGCACACTCGCACCACATGACAGAGTATTTTTGATACCATTCTATCACATCTCAGTATTGACTCGGCTATAGCACGATATTGTTTGCTTTGGGCCTCGACTACACCCTCACAATTTTGTTTCTGGGAACTCATATGAGAACGTCACAATGGATCACCCATCCTGAGAATGCTCTCACTCGAAATTGCTTAACTTTGGAGTTTCGATGGAACCCGAAGCAAGTGAGTTCCCAAAAGGTCTTGTGCTATATGGAGGTGGGCATGTATAAGGCATATCACCCCCTCTCCGTTGGTCGATGTGAGATGTTACAGTTACATCTTTTTAATAAGCACTACTTGGGTCCTATATAATCCTATAAAATCATTTTCATTAAATGGTAGAATTAGAGTTAGTTTTTATTTTTGAAAAATAGGGTTCCCCGTTCTTTTATTCTTCATTTGTCAAAATTTTGAGTTGTGTCTTGAGAGTACAGAATATATAAAGTTTGCCAAAGCCCGAAGATTGAAGTGCTTCGACTTCGGATTGTAGATTGTTGAAT